ACAGCCACAGAACAGCTGCACCTGCCACACCTTCCACCACTCCCCCGCCCTGCTGCAGCACCCTGCCCCCTCCCTGTGCCGTGGGGGCCCCTGCCTGCTGCCGCGACCAGCTGCAGCACCTGTTCCACAAAGCACACTCCCCTCCTGCCCTGGGGAAGAGCAGACGCCAGTTTCCAGAACAGGACCGCCCTCCTGCCCTGGCAGCCAGGCCCAGCCAGCGGGCTCTCTCCACTGCCAGAGGCCCTCTCCCCCTCACCTTGCTCATCTCCTCCCTCTCCTCCGCATGCATCCAGATCGGCTTGTGCTCTTCTGTGGGACAAAACACAAGAGAGGGCCGCTCACCAACTCAGCCCCGAGCTCTGCCTCGCCCACCTACCCACCTGGCACAGGCTGCAGCTCCACCCTCCCAGGCACCAGCCAGCATCCTGGGGGCACTGTGGGGCTCTCCCCAATCCTGGCAGGCTGTGTCTGCCCGGGGGCTGCTAACCCCTTGTTGATTTCAGTCACGGAGCTGCTTTCCACCACCAGTGACCTCCTCTCACCCCCAGGGAAAGCCCCCAGCCACGCTCAGGAGGGAGAGGGCAAGCCAGTGCTGTGCTCAGGGACGCCCGTGCAGTCACAGCCGCAGGCACACGGGACAGCGGCGCTGCACACGGCGGGTTCTGACCATGGTGCCAGCCTGCAGGGGGCTTTCTCCCTTTGCAGTCAGGCAGCGGAGAGCAGTGAACTGCAGAGAGACAAGCCCAGGCAGGTGCAGTAGGCCGTGAAGGGACGCACCCTGCCAGCAGAGGGGACATCGCATCAAGCCAGTCCCACGGCTGGAGTGGGGAGCGGCTCCCCACTCTCCCACCCCTTCCAGCCGAACATACCATCCACAGAGCCAAACTCCTTCACGTGGGCGCGGGTGAGGATATCCTTGTACAGCACCTCAGCTTCCTTGTATTTCCCTTGTTTCAAGTAGCAGGAGGCCTGCAGTTAATACAGAAAGTTCAAGCTTCACTGAGCCACGTGGGAATATCCCTAGGCGCCACCCCCATCCGCTTCCCAGGCCCTCCCCCACTGACCCAAATGCCCCCCTTGGTCCCGACACAGCCCCTTCTCCCTGCAGGCGCACCAAGTTGTTCTTGGTCTTGGCCACGTTGGGGTCGTCTGGGCCCAGGCGTCTCTCGTAGATATCCAGCGCTCGGCGGTAGTAGTACTCCACCTCCTCGTACTTGGTCTGGTTTTGGCACAGCAGTGCCAGGTTGTTCAGCTGCTTGGCCACATCTGGATGGTCCTTGCCTAGAACCTGGGGAAGCCAGAGAAAGGAGGCCTTAGAAAGAACCCCTTTGAGACCATGACGGACCCCTGGCTGCCCCTCCTTGGACTCCTAGGAACGCCCTGCTTTACTGAGGGACACTAGCATGCTGGCCTTTGCTCAGCAGCCCGTCATGTTACTGGATTTTAAGGGGAGCAGCCAGGTCACTGCTGCGCCCATGGGGGGGTGTTTGCCCCAGAAGCTGTTACAAAGGGGGCCATGTGAGGTGTCAAATGAAAGCTTATCTTATATTGATTCTATATATGCTATTCATGTGATTGTATAATGTCTGTGTGTGGAGCTATAAACATGTACTCTGTATGGAGATTGGGAGTTTCTCTGTATGTGGTTGAGCAGTGGGCTCAGCCTATGGACATGCTAATTAGCAAGGCTCCAGGGACAACAGATCTCTTAAGTTCTAGAGACCCACCTGGGAAGGAATCTAGGTGCCTGGCCAGAGAGTCACATGGTCTCTCCAGCTTGGAAGAAGCCAGGGGGGATATAAACAGGCCATGTGGCTGACTCCATCTTGGTACTCAGCTCAGCTCTTCATCCCAGAGGCAGCAGTGCAGGGATCGAGGAGCCAGAAAGAACCGTGGACCCATCCTGACATAGGATGTGCACCAAAGACTTTTAAGCCTGCAGTTAGAACATCTCTGCTGTGAGCCTTCATCGAGAACTGGGGGATTCGATGCATGTAACATATGATACTTTAGCAACCTCACTCTCAGGCTTTTCTTTTTTTTAGTAATAAACCTTTAGATTGTAGATTCTAAAGGACTGGCTCAGTGTGATTCGTGGGTGAGATCCAGAGTGTAAACTGATCGGGACCTGGGGCTGGTTTCTTGGGTCCGGACAGAACTCATTTGGGGTAGGTGAGATTGGGTTCTAAAATCCCTCACCTGTGTGTTAGGCCCGGGGCTGTTTGGGGCACGGAGAGAGCTGGGGTGTCAGAGGGGTTTGCTTGTGAGACTTCTGGCTGGCCAGGCTAGCAACTGAAGTGCTCTGTGGGACTGGTCTGTGGCCTATTTGGGAAGGTCTCCAGTCTGGGGCTGTAAGGAGCCCCGAGTTTGAGCAATTCACCCTGAGTGGACGCCCTCAGCTGTGCCCAGCCCCGGCCCGGGCCATCACACCCCCAGAAGCTCAAAGGCAGGGAGCAAGTAGCCTCCAGCTGGTCCCTCAGTGGGCATGGCCTGTAGCAGTTGGGGCAGAATACCTGGAGTTGTCACAGCAAAGGTACATGGGCAATGAATGGAGGAGACCACCCTGGGACTACAAAACTAAGCTGGAGGCAGGAGGACAGCAGGTGGCAGAAATCAGCGCTGGGGACCAGGGGTAACTACAGGGACCTGCTGGATGTTTTTCAGGGCCCTGAGGTCAGAGGAGAACTTCGTAACCACCTTGTCTGCCTGCCTGCCCACTGCTGCCACACACCCCAACCTTTGGCTGAGGGACTGAAAACCTCAGATCAGGCACTCGTTCCTCCCCCTGGGCAGGCGTATAGGAGTCGTCGAGGAAGGGCGATGCTGGTACCCTCTCCCTGGTCTCAGGGGCAGGGAGTAGCCCATCGGTGGGGTGTTCTGGCTGGTACCTTCTCGCGGATTTCCAGGGCTCGCTTGCACAGTGGCTCTGCCTCCTTGTACTTTCCCCTCTTGCCATAGAGAACAGCCAGATTGTTAAGGGTTGCAGCCACCTACGGAACAAGCCACGCCCCAGTGAAATGAGAAGGAGCCAAAAGGAGCACACAACGGGGAGAAGAGGTGCGGAGCAGGGCCATCATGGCCCCTTTGCACGCACCCCCGCAGCTGCTGGGGCGAGGGACAGCCGCAGCTTGGCAGCACGCAGGAGCCAGGTGTATTAAGGAGGCAGCAAAGAGTTATCCAACATGCCCAGGGTAGAGCCCAAACTCTTCCCAATACAGCTGCCATCAGGACTGGGCCTGCACGTGCCCTCGGGGAAGCTGCCCAGCCACATGCAGTGTGGACAAAGGGGGGGTCCGTGGCGAGGGGCACGACGCTGCTTCCTGCTGGCCCGGCCCCCGCACCCGAGCCAGCAGGGACATGGGCCTCCAGTGCCAGGGCAGCAGATACTCACTGCAGGATGGTCTTTCCCCAGTGTCTTCTCGCGAATGGAGAGTGCGTCATTCAGCAGGTGAGCAAGCTGCCCAGCCACATGCAGTGTGGACAAAGGGGGGGTCCGTGGCGAGGGGCACGACGCTGCTTCCTGCTGGCCCGGCCCCCGCACCCGAGCCAGCAGGGACATGGGCCTCCAGTGCCAGGGCAGCAGATACTCACTGCAGGATGGTCTTTCCCCAGTGTCTTCTCGCGAATGGAGAGTGCGTCATTCAGCAGGTGAGCGGCCTCTTTGTATTTATTCTGATCCCTGCAGCACAAAGCCAGTGAGTCACGGTCTCGGGGAGGGGTTGCCAGCATATGGTGCTTGTGTCGCAAGTGGCACAAGCTGATTTTCAGTGACATGCAAACAAACTGGCTCCCCCTTGCTCCCACTCCCCACAATGGGGCACCCATGCTGGAGGTCCAGCATCGTGTCCCCCACAAGATTGGAGCCAGCGCTGGCTTCCTGCGACTTGCGCTGCCTTATCCACCCTACCTTCCCCCGTGCTCTGGGGAGACGGGACACGGGAGCTGCACGGCCTCCGCCTGCCTGGGAGCCAGGGCAGGAGACCAAGTGGGGCGTGCGGTGGAGAGTGGCACGGACCAGGGCAGGAGGGAATGCTGGGGCACACCATGTCTGAAAGGCTAGACCTAGACCAGGGGTCAGCAGAGTGCTGGGACTGAACACATGGAGCCCATCCCCAACCCTGAAGCCTTCTCCAATTCCCCATAAGCCTCACCAATCACAGCTCTCCCCCCCATTCCAGCCTGTCCTCTCCCTTGCCTCCCCATGTCCCACAGCTCTCCATGCCTGTCTGTGAAGTCCACCCCAGGCCAACAGGGCCTAGGCTTCCTGGCCATCACCGGATCCCCAGCAGTTTCCAAAGGGAGACTCTGCCAGATGCAGAAGCCCCACATCTGCCAGACGGGAAGGAGCGACAGGGCCCCCAGACTAACCTGTACACCAATGCCAGGATGTTGAGCATGGTGGCTACGTCAGGATGGTCATGACCTGATGTCTTCTCCAGGTCCTCCAGCGCCTGCTTGCAGAGCGGCACGGCCACCTCGTAGCGCCCCTGGGAGGCGTACTGGATCACCAGGTTGTGGAGAGTGCGCAGGCGCGCCGGGATCTCGTAGCCGCCCTGCTGAGCGGCTGCCGCGGCGCCAAGGAACCGGGCCAGTGGCACATCGTTTGGGCTCACAGGACCAGCCAGGCTCGGCTACCCACGCACCTCCAACCAGCCAGGGCTCTTACTACAGGCCTCAGAAGGTGGGGGAGGGGAGGAGACTGGAACCACTTACATCCTGCCCCATGCTCCTCCTCTTCGTTCGGGAACAGATCATCCAGAGAGTCCTTTGTGGAGTCCCCTTCCTTCTCCTCCTGGTGGGGGAGGGTTAGAACCATGAGCGCAAGGTGCCAGCACCCCAGTGAGACCAGCTGTACACGGTCCAGTGCCCCATGAGGCCAGACAGGTGCTCCCCCTACCCTATGGGTCCAGTCCCCCAGTCAGTGAGCCCACCCCCACGCAGACTCTCACTCCTGCCAGGCAGGGGCTCACAACACAGCTAGCTCCTTAGTAAACAGGCCCTGGCTCAGGAAAGGGAAGGCGCACTCCTCCTCTGGTGAAAGTGCTGCAGGGCCAGAGCACAGGCCATGGGCCCTGGAGGGCCCGTCCACCCCTCCCTCGACTCAGCCCTGGGGGATGGCTCTGGAGTGAGCGCGCCCAGTGATGACTCACTGATGGCGAGACATCCTCATCGTATTTCTTCAGCTGGTTCATGAACTCCAGGTGCTTCTTCTCCTCCTCCAGCTGGGCCACCGTCTGCTCACTGCGCTGCAGCTTCTGCTGGGTGTTTGCCAGCTCGTCTCGCAGCCACTGGTTCTCCTGGCACAGTCTCCGCACCTGGGCACGCAGCTTCTGCTTCTCCGACTCCACTGCATTCAGGTGGTTGGACAGAGCCATCATCACCTGGGCCAAGCCAACAGTAACATCAGCAGTGCAGCAGGAGACCCAGCCCAGCCTCTCAAGGCAGCCCCACTACACTGCACCCGGGGCGGCCCGTGCCTATAGGCAAACTAGGCAGCCACCTAGGGCACCAAGTTGCACGGGGCGCCAAATTCCAAACCCTGCCCCTTCCATTTCCCATTCCCTTTCCGGTGCCTTACCTGGAGCATGGCTTCCCTGCGGCCAGGAGGGGGGTAAGTCTTGGGAGAGGCAGCACATGGGGGTGGTTTCCCCCGTGCCGCGGGAGGAGGAACGCGGGGGGGGTCGGCCCTGGGGAAGGGAGGGGGCAGTGGGGATTTTGGCTAGGGGCTGAGGTCAAGGAGGATGTGGGCA